TTCTATTTGATCTGCGAACTTTCAACTTGTTCGTCGATGGAAGCTGTGAAATTAGTGCATTTTATATCGTGCAACAATTGCAAAAAACAATTGCGAAATGGCAACACGACCTTGGCGCGATCTTGGACAAAAGAGCAACCAGAGATCAAAGTAGCATCGGGGACGGCGAGTTCCCGAACACCACTACAACTCCAAAGTGGGACGGTCGAGTGCGTTCAACGAGCGCGCGGATGTAACTGGAATGTGCACGTGTTACCGACAGATGCAAGAATGTCATTAACTACTTGCCCTAGTTACCCCATCCATATACGTTTCCCCCTCGAAATTAAATTAAAAAAAAAGGACCAAGCGGCCAAAAAAAAAAAAAATTTCAACTTTCCTACGAATTGCTAATTCAATCTAAATTTATCTCGACTTTCTACTTCAAACTTTCGCTCTTTTTCCAAAAACTAGAGAAATTCACCATCTTGATCTATATATATATATATATATAGATCATTCGTCAAAAATTTAATCATTATTTATTCTAAATCTATTCTTCGCTCAAAGAACAAGTAACAAACAAGTAAATTTATCTATCTCGAATTTCTACCAAACTTCATAATTTCACCCTTTTTCCAAATTAGAAATTCACCACTCCTGATTTATTATTGAGTCTTATTCCCTCTAAATGTATCCCTATAATTAATCAAAGAGATATATCTCAATGATATTAATAGTACAATCATTCCTCACAAACTCGCAAATTAATCATCATTTATCCTAAATCTATTTTTCACAAAGTCTAAACAAACAAGCAATACAATTACCATATTAATAAAATATATCGATCGATTTATCCCAATCTTTTTACGACCTACCCTAATCCTAAATATTTCTATTCAACAAACAAGATACCCTTTCATTTCCAACATCCTCAAACGTAGATATTTTCCAGTTACACCATCTTCCACTGTACGTCACATTTCCAGCACCCTCGGCATTCCAATACCGCGCCACCCCCCGAAAACACCCCTCCCGTTCGTGGCCGCAAGAAACGCGATCCGTCTAAACACCGATCGGATCGGGGCCGCTCGAATTTAGTTCACCACGGAACACACACTCTCCCCGCCCCGCTCACCCGCCGCCGCCTGTAATTCCCGTTTAAGCTCCTTCCAGGTGGTGCACACCCGTGTGTCGCACGGATACGCGGCAATGGATGAACAACGTAGAGAGGCGCCTTGAGGAGCCCGGTTGTCCCCGATATACAACCCCGACACCCGTGTCTATCGGCTTCGGCTTGTCCCCTGTATTGTCCGCGTTTATGTACGGGCTGGCTTAGGCGGGTACATTCGTACGAGGCTTACCTCGTAGACGACGACGACGACGACCACCACCACGATGTGGCGAACAATGGACCGATTAACGCGAATACAAGGGAAAATACACGGATAAACGTTTCGTGGGAGGGGAGGGGTTGAGAATCATCCTATTTTTCGAGAATGTGATTCGAGAATAAACGAGAAGGGATGGTTATTTTTGTGATTAGAGATCAATCGAGGAGTAGGAGAATCGAATGGGAGAGAAAGGGAGAAGAGAATCTTGCTATTTTTTTTTTTGGAGAAAAGTGAGGAGGTAAAATGTTATTCATCTCTAAGGTTGAATGGAATAGGAAAGGAGTGATATGATTAGAAGTTGAAAAGTCGATTTTCAGTGGAAAAGTGAGGAGAATCTTATCTGAAATTGACAAGAAGATTATTCTCTCAAGAGAGAGATCTATATGATAGAGTTTCAGGAATAAAGAATTAATAGAAGAGAAAGGGAGAAGGTGGTTGAGAATCTTGTTATTTTTTTTGGAGAAAAGTGAGGAGGTAAAATGTTATTAATTTCTAGGATTGAGTGGAAAAGGAGTGATGTGATTAGAAGTTGAAAAGTCGATTTTCAGTGGAAAAGCGAGGAATATCGAAAATCTTATCTGAAATTGGCAAGAAGATTATTCTCTCAAGAGAGAGATCTATATGATAGAGTTTCAGGAATAAAGAATTAATAGAAGAGAAAGAGAGAAGGTGGTTGAGAATCTTGTGATTTTTTTTGGAAATGAAAGTAAAATGTTATTCATCTCTAAGGTTGAGTGGAATAGGAAAGGAGTGATATGATTAGAAGTTGAAAAGTCGATTTTCAGTGGAAAAGTGAGGAGAATCTTATCTGAAATTGGCAAGACGATGATTATTCTTTCAAGAGAGATCTATATGATAGAGTTTCAGGAATAAACAATTAATAGAAGAGAAAAGGAGAAGGTGGTTGAGAATCTTGTTATTTTTTTGGAGGAAGTGAAAGTAAAATGTTATTCATTTCTAAAGTTGAGTGGAAAAGAAATGATGTGATTAGAAGTTGAAAAATCGATTTTCAGTGGAAAAATGAGGAATATCGAGAATCTTATCTGAAATTGGCAAGAAGATTATTCTCTCAAGAGAGAGATCTATATGATATAATTTCAGGAATAAAGAATTAATAGAAGAGGAAGGGAGAAGATGGTTGAGAATCTTGCTATTTTTTTTTGGAGGAAAGTGAGTAAAATGTTATTCAACTCTAAGGTTGAGAGAGATCTATATGATAGAGTTTCAGGAATAAAGAATTAATAGAAGAGTAATATTTTCCATGGGATTTGTCATATCAGGATCAAAGGGGAGCATCTCTGCCTTTAATCGTCGATCGAAAAGTGGCCGAGCCTGGTCCACTTTTAACCCATATCCGCGTTTGCAAATATTAAATATGACTTATACCGTCATAAATATTGGATGAAAAGTGTGACCGAACGGTCGAGCTGAAGTTTAATATACGTTCTTCCCAGGAGAGGAGAGAAATCAATTCTCTGGCCCGTAAAATTCTCGAAAACGAATTTCCCAACCTAACCAGTTAAAACTTTGCATTTTGAAAGAAACTCCGCGTTAAATCTTCCACGAAACGTAATACACTTTGCGGAGAGCAAAGTCGTGCTCCCATTTGCTTGGAAAAATCGGTGGCATTTACTTGGGAGAAACAGAAAAAGGGGTTGGTTGATTTTTGGATCTCTCGATTGAAACGAAAGGAAATATAAGGTTTTTCGAAAGTCGGGAGACGATTGTTCATCGCTTTCACCGCTGTTCTCATTCCCTCCCCCTCCCCTCCGGATTACACTCTGATAAGAATCGTATCGACCCTCGTTATCGCGGTGATATCTCGACCGCGTATATCTGCCTTTATCCACCAACTCTTTCGCTATCCTTCAACGCGTATCTAATCTCGACGAAAGATCGCGCGATATAAACCAACCTTTTGCTATCCTTTCTCTAATTTGTCGCTGTCTAATTGTCGCTGCTCTTCTCATCACTAGTAAGAATGATCGAATAAAAGAAGAATCGAGGATTCATTTTTGTCGATTCTAAGCGATATTATTTCAAACAAGTGGGAACGAAGAAGAAACGTGTTATTCTTGATTTAATAAATTGGATTTGCGGAAGTAACTCTTCTAAGTGAAAGACACGAGAATTTCGTAACAGAGACGGATAAGAAAATAAGGAAAGAGTTTGTATAAATATGAGTTTCACTTGACCGATTCCTCGAACGATCATAACTCCAAAGGATTTTCTATATATTTTATATATTTTATATATTTTATATATTTCTCTCTCTCTCTCTCTCTTGATTGTTTGTATAGAATTTAATTTAATTTTTGCGCGTCTTAATTTTAATTTTAATCAAAGAGTAAGAATAATATTAGAACGATAGAAGCTAACGAAGTTAGAAAAGGTTAAGCTTTTTAACACCTTTTATCATTTTTCTCATTTGTTCCTGTACTAAAATGAAAACTCACCCCTCTCCCTCCAATGAGACACGTTTCAGAGGCTAAATTTTAGAGATTAAACGTAAATATTACATTTGAAAATTACGGTCTCCATAGAACTAAATTATTACTATTTTCATTCATATGTAACATACTTTTAATTAAAGGAACGATTCGTTATAATTAACAACATCTAAATTGGTATACACGGGATGTAAGCACCTCTATCGTATTATAACCAAAATTGTTTTCATGAATACTACGACAATTTTTGCTTTCAAGAATTAATTCGAATATTTTGAAACCCGACTATCTACAAATTAAAACAAAAGAATCGAAATTCTATATTTTATATCTTTCGTACGAAGCAAAATTTTAGTTCCAAAAAAAAAAATCCAACAATATATTAATAGAACACGAAATATCGATGAACGATCATATAAATAGAAATTAAATACTATTATTAACCCTTTCAACACGATATTGCATTTCTTCTCATAAAAGATGTACGTTTATTTTTTTATCATTATTGGGATATATCCACTGATATTTTATAGTGGATCATTTTTATCCCAATTTAGGATATTACTACAAAAAAAAGAAAAATATATTTGAACCAAAAAATATCGTATATTTACAAGTATTATTCACGTGACACCAGAATAACCAGTATATCTACTATCCTATCTTATCGATTGTTACATATAATATAATGCAACAAAAAGCACAAACAATAGAAATATTTACATTTCACGGAAGATTTTCGACGGAATTAAATTTGAAAATAATATTCGAATGTGAAATAATACGCCAACAATCTTGATCGTTTGTTACAAAAAATACGACCACGTTAAAAGGATTAAAAGGCAATGTTCCAAACTTCATACGTATTTCGAACATTCCACCCTCCGTTTTCATCTTTATTACCCCATCCCCCCTCGAAGATACTCCAGTTCCTCCAGTCTTAATTGCCCCATTGTTCGCGATATTCGTCCTTCGCGAGGCCCTTTCCGTGGGTAACACGCGAAAGAAAAAAAGAAGAAAGGGAAGAAGAGGCATGGAGGAAAGCGAAGGAAGAAGAAAAATCTATTCACAACCATCTCCAGTCCGTTCATCCTCGCCACTTCACTCTGGCGAGCACTTCGCCACCGTTTCAGTGACGCGTTGCACCTTTTTATTGGCACGCGTACTGGCTTACTCTCTCTCTTTCTCTCTCATTTTTTTCGAGTTCTTCCTCCTCTATCCACGACGCTCATTGTGCTTCGAGTGTGGCTGCAAACGAGCCGCGCCCTCTCTCTTGCCAAGAATGCAATTTCTGCGATGACTTTTCATCAAAGAAATGAATATCGTTCATTAACCAACTTATTTATTTAATTATTGCTTGGAACGATATTTATCTTCCTTTCACGTTATTTCCGCAAGAACAGGGATGAAGTAAGCTTCCAAAATGAATAAATTCATATTTTATATTTGCAATTCAATAACGAGGGTAATTATAAACGACGGATCGCAATGTGATAGAAGATAATTATGACGTAGCGAAATAGGATTGCCACGAAAAAATGGCTTTTTGAATGCCATTTACTCTTCATTATTTTACAATTATCTTATTGCTGTTTATTATTGGAATACAAGATAACAAAGTAATTGGCAAGAAAATTCTTAAATTTAAATCCTGCGAGCAATTTTCTAATAATCTAGGTAGCTTCGATCATCTAAGCAAAGCGATTTCCTCGTATTAATAATACTTTCACGACTGATGGGATCGCGCTAAATGGATTATTACCAACAAAAACCTAGCTTTCTTTCGCCTACTGGGGATACATATATATATATACAGCTTCCTTTATAACGCGTATCGCTCAATGAGAAGAATTATTAAACAATTTCCCCTAATTCTAAATATTTATTCTCCATCTTCTAAGATATTTCTTTCTTCTTTTCTAGAGATTCAAATTTTCTTTCAATCTCAACCCTTGATTTCAAAAAATCATCGTAAGAATCATTGCTAATCGACCAATAATATTCCTTGATCCCAAGATCATCTTCCTCGTCGCTTAGACGATCCAAGGGGGCGCGTATTTTCTCCACGACACTTTCATTCCGCGTCTGGCATAATTACACTCGTCACAGTCTCGTCGTCCCTCTCGGGTCTCGTTTCTCAGGTGGAGGGGAGAAAAAGAAGGAGAAGAAGGGAAAAGAGGAGAGGACACGCGAAACACGTCTGGAAAAAGCGGAACGGAAGCAAAGGGTTGGGCGGGAGGGGCGTTATCGCGTTGATAACGCGGGTAGGGACACAGCGTGCGAAACGGGCGACATTCATTAATCGACGCCGCAGCATCGTCACCCTTTAAGCGCAAAAGCTTTTGCGTCTCATTAGTGTGGCACCGAGAGAGGGTTGCGAAGAGGAGCCACGCCAGCGCCACTTCACATTCACCCACTTGCAGCACCCCACCCCTCCCGTCCACAGTGGCGTAGTCAGGGATTTAATTCGAGGAGTTTGACCCGCGTTTTCGTAAGTACGTTTAATCGAGATTGGTTGGCCCTCGATCGAGCTAATTTCCGGTCATTGTGGAAATATCGAGAACATCGAGCTAGCGAGTTCTTTCTTTGTTTAAAAAATGAAGTAGGATTTAAAGAAATAGGAAAAGTAAAATGTTGAGTTCAATGTTGAATTCGTCATCACGTGGTCTTGTAAGGAAGATAGCTGGTCAATGGTAATGGAAGAGTGTTTCAAATAATTGTATTACTTTTCTACTATAAATTCTTAATGTTTTAAATTAGTTAAACACGCTACTATTTAACTCTTGTTTGCTACTGGAACAGCAATTTCCTCGAAGAAAGTTTTCTCGAAAAATGAGCCGATTTTCGTAGTAGCGTGTTTGCTTAGTGCAATTTTTAAGGAGCAGGAAGTTTCCCCAAGGTGTAATATATCTTTCTATAGCGTTCCGCTATCTCAACACTAATATACTAATCTTAAGAACGCGTGTTCTTCCCCTTGAAAAAGTTTCCATACACTAAAAGAAAAATCTTTCAGCAATCTTTCATAAATTGTAATTAAACACACGTAATCCAAATTTAGCTGCTTCTACTTTTTAACCAAGTTGCCACTTTTGCATGAAGTGAGCTTTAGAATAAAACTAGATTTGTACTCGGATTCTTTAGGGGAAAAAAAGAAACTAAGAACGAGCTTTCTTCCGTTTAGAAAAAGCGACGAAAAAAAAATAATATACAAGATTAAACGTATGAAAAGTTTCGTTAAACCGTAATTTAGAATAATTGTACAATTTGTTTAAAATTTCGAGAAAGAATAAGAGGTAAACGAAAAAAGGTAAAATTAATCTCTCATAAAAGTTTACTCGATGCAAATCTTTCGACTCGAGTGGTGTGTTATACAAGTCGTCTTAGCTACGCCACTGTTCTCCTTCATCTTCTCATCAAGTGGAAAAAGGGGAAGAAGAAACCGGGGGGATGTTTGGTCCTCTCTCTTTCTCTCTCTCTCACCTTCACTCTCTCGTCGAATCTTCTTTCAGCCCCGACGAAGGCGATAACAACTATGGGAAGAAGAGGAACGCGCCTTTACCGGGCTGCCTTGACGCGATAACCTTGGATTTGATGTGGATCACAACGTACATACTCGGCCTTTGTTTCATAGCCATCTTCGCCGACGTTCTGGTCATCTTGTCCATTGGAATCTTTCTACGTAGGCTCGATTGGAAGAACGAATGAGGTAATCCAATAAATAAACCCCACCCATTTCCTTCTTCTTTTATAAAAATATATTTGTAAAAATATTCATGCTTCCAACTAGCTGTGACGAGAGAGAAAGAGGGAGAAAAGAAAAAGAAAGAAGCAAAAGAGGAAGAAAGGAAGAAGCTACCCCGAAGACGAGGGAGAGCGCATCGACGAGAGGCTCCACGCAGCAATTATTATGTTTTGCAGCAGGGAATAAAGTTAAAGTTAGCCTGCCTCTTCGAGTTAGCTCGCCTAAGTTTGAGATTAATTTAACCGCTGAATATAAATAAAGGAGGATATATGGTTTCGCGATACTTGTTAAAAGACCAAGACAGAAACCATAGGGAAACGGACTTAACTTACGCCCTCAACTTTCCCAGGAAGAATTATCCAATTACAACGTTCGTTTCTTTCCACCAACTTTTAAATTAAACACATTCGTTTTTCTTTCCTCCGTAATCCCCGCTGTTCCCTCCTCGACTCCATCGCGATAATTTTCTCATTTCCACCGCAAAAGGAGTAGAACCACGACCTGTTCCACGTGGTGTCACACCTATGAATAATCGATGAGCGTCGAATTATCATAATTCAGCTAGACGCGAGCGCGGCTGCGATTCAGTCAATTCCATCTGATTTAATTCGCGATCATCTCGTTCCAGTTTCTCTCGTCGAAAACACTCAATTTTCCGAAATACACGACTCGTCCCGGAAAGAAGGAAAATGTGACTAAAAAGAAAAATTGCCTCTTTGTACTTCTTTCTCGAGGAGAAAATGGAAACGAAATTCTTGTTTTTATTATTCTAGCGGACGAGAACACGAGGGAAACACGAGGTGGGCAACGAAAGATGAAATGGTCGCGTTATTTGGATTCCATCTCGCGATTTTGGGATTTAGCTGAAATTTTATAGCTCGATGATACCACGGAATAGCAATTGATTCGTTTCGAAGTTGGAAATTAAATAAGATCGTCGGATTGTTCTTCAAGATCAGCGTGAAAAATACACGCTTTTTATTTTCGTGGAAGAAGTTATTATATTAACACGCGTCGTCGATCAGAATTTATTTAAAGTTGGAATCGTCACTTTGCTGGAAAATTAAAAGATTTCGTTGGGATCGAGGATCGCGATTGAAATGATTGAGATCGTTACATTATAAATTCAAGGAGGAATATTGAATTTTGAGAATAAGGTAATAAGATAGAATAAAGGAAAATAGATGGGAAAGAGTACATAAAATTGTGCATATAATAAGAAATATTGATTCTACATATTTCATTTAAGCTGAAAAAACGTGGAATCAGAAAAAGAAGGAACGTACATATAAATTTTGTATACATCGCATAACGTATTATCGATACGCTTATATTAGATATTTTTCAATATCGATAAAATGCAAAATTCCATCCACTCTATTATTATCCAGAAAACTTTATTATTATTTCAATCTCGACGATGGAAAGTTTTCCACCGAAATTTCAAGTCGCGAATTAAAAGGGATTTCGAGACAAAGAAGGTCGAGAATGAAAGGGAAACGAAAGCAGAAGATTCGCTTGTGTATTATCCGATCGGTAAGATAATTAGAGGAGCAGACACTTGCGAGAGCCAAAAATTCTCATTGTAATTTTGCACAAATCTACTCTCTTCTCCGTTAATGATCGTGTTACACGTATTCAAACGTATCTTTTTACTATCAGACAGAAATCGGCGATGACAGACACCGAAAGAAATCGAGAAAGACGGTAATGAATAGCATTCAAAGTTTCTTTCTCGTCAGAGAATTTATCGTGGAGAAAAACGATAGAGAGAGAGAGAGAGAGGAACGAAAGTCTCCAAAAGTATCGTAATTAAGAGGATTCTTGGCCACAAGCACCGATGATCAAAATAAACTAACCATCTTCATCCCCGTTTCTTTTAAGAAAAAAGGAAAAAAATTCAATTTCGCTCCCTTTAAATCTTGCACGAGGAAGGAGAGGAGGAAGGGAGTTGAGGGAGGAGGGGAATATTGGAGAAAGTGACGTTTTCTTTTCACCTGGAAATGGTTATTACTTGTAGCAATACAAACAGCATACGAAACGAGGTAATTTCTATTCGCCATATCTCCTCTCTCCCCCCATCATATTTTATCCGTTCCTTTTAATAAAGCAATCTCTTCCGTTTCGTGTAACTAAGTTGCTACAAATAATATATATAATTTATCTCACGTTATGGACTGCAAATATTCTATCACAGTTATTCATCAGACTTTCAACTTCTGACTTCGCTTAATTAACATTCATTTCTTTCTTCATTCAACCATGATCGATCGCGTTATTGAAACGATTAAATTAAAAGATATATATATAGAGCAAAAACTATAATTAATTAATCTATTCGTGGAACACGAATAAAAGAAGAATGTGAAAATGTTCAACCGTATCGCGTATTTAATTCGATGTTTATATTGTTGATATTCGATCTCGTTAATAAAGTCAGAATTAAAATTTTTCATTTCCATAATTTCTCCATAATTCGTAAATAAAATAAAATAATCCGTCCGGAACGATTCGATGTCTCGCGTAAAATTTTCTCTCCTCTTTCTCCGGAGAAAAAAAGAAGAAGAAAAAGAAGAAGAAGGAAAACACGAAAGAGAGACGCGTATTTTTCTACGGTTGATGTAACATTTGTTTCGCCCGTGGC